CCCAGGTCCCAGGAAAGACAGCACAAGGCTAGGGTCTCCAGACGTCCAGGCCCTTTGCTGGAGACTCTATCATGCTTAAGGGCATAGCCATCAGCAGCTCCCCCCGCCAGGTTCCTAGAGGATGCACCCAGCTGCAGGAGAGGCGAGAAGTCTCTCTGGTGGGTTAGCAGTCCTGCCTTGGGCCACTGGTGGCCTGCCACAGAAGGCTGGGCCTTACCAAACCAGGTTCTTTCAGGGCCTCTGTAGCATAGGGCTAGGAGAAGTGGTGCCTGGCTCAGAGGTGACTGCCTAGTTTTCCCAGCCGATGGAATAAAGGGAGGTCAAGGCTATCTTATGTTCCATGGGAAAAGAGGGTGTGTTTGAGGCAGAAGACAGCCCATGCTTACACCTTGGCCAGAAGCTAGGCTCACCCCTACAGATCAGCTTGTGACTCTGCTGATGGATGTAGGCCCCCTGGAGAGCCAGGCACGTGCTGCCCTCCCTGCTTCTTTAGCCTCAGGGCAGGAGGCCTCTGAGCTTCCTCACACATAGAGCCTTTGCTCCCTGGGGTCCATGACACTGAAGGGCTATATGGAGGGTTATGCCGATGGAGAATAGGGTCACCACTGCAGTAGGTCTCAGTGACAGGACTCCATCATCACACCATCTGGGGTGCTTGGGGTCCTTCCTTACACAACAGAAGCTTCAGCCCCAATCTGTTGGGCCAGATCTCACCCATTCCTGTGCTATTGCTCCAGGGCCAAACACAGGCTCCTCTAGCCCTGATTCCAGAGACAGATGAAGGACCTTACCCTCACCTTTATATTCTTTATCCTTAAAGTGAAAAATAAATTGGCTCAAGCTGGCACAGCCGAAGCAAAAAAATAAATAAGGATAGTATTAGATTATAACTCACGGAGCAAATTAAATATATATGAGTCTGTAGGGACATAAAGTAATAATTACATAAATAAATAAATGGGAGTGAAAAGGAAGCTCTTCTTCACAGAATTCCAATTGATAAATTGGAAGGCATGTGGCAGATGTAAAGCCCCACCAGGCAAACACCACAGAAGTAGCTGTTTCAGAAACAGGATGTTTGTATAATCTCAAAGTATCTTCCCTAAGATATTTACTAATTATAAAAGGAAAAAAAGGGCCAACCAAGTGGCTCAGTTGGTTAGATTCCCGCATGGGCCAGTGAGCTGCGCCTGAGCGGAGCTGCTGCTGAGCTGCTTAGAGGGCATGCTCTCAACAAGGTTGCCGGTTCAACTCCTGCACGGAATGGTGGGCTGCGCACCCCTGCAACTAAGATTGAACACAGCACCTTGAGCTGAGCACCCTCAGCTGCCGACAGGTGGTAGCATGGCTCAGTGTGCAACAAAGTTGCCAGTTCGACTCCTGCATGGGATGGTGGACTATGCCCCGCCTCCCCCCACAACTAGATTGAAAGTGACAACTGGACTTGGAGCTGAGCTTGTGCCCTCCACAACTAAGACTGAAGGACAACAACTTGACTTGGATCTAATGGGTCCTGGAAAAGCACAATGTTCCCCTTCCCCAATTCCCCAACACTGTTCCCCTCCCCAATTCCCCAATAAAATCTTTTAAAAATAAATAAATAAATAAAGGAAAAAACAGTAACTTTACAGTGGAGAAACCCAGCAGACACCAACTCAACCAAGTGATCAAGGTTAACATCACCAGTAATAAGCCACTGGTATGATGCCTCAAGTACACATCACTTCTATGGAATTTTGACCAAAAAGTTCACAAACTCAATCTTACCATGAGAGAAATCACACAAACCCAGACTGAAGGACACTCATCACATTAACTGATGGACTCATAAAAAGCGCAACAGTCACGAAACATAAGACGAAGGAACTATCAAAGATTGGAAAAGACTAAGGAAAACTGACAACCAAATATAATGGGAAATCCTGGACGAGATCCCAAAACAGAAAAAAAACTACTGGAAAAACTGATGAAATTTGAACAAGGTCTGAAGTTTAGTTAGTAATATTGTAACCAACATTAATTTCCTGGTTTTAATAAATGAAGTATGGTTATGTAAATTGTGAACATTAGGGGAGACTGGGTGAAGGGTATATGTGAATTCTCTGTGCTATTTTTACAACTTTTCTCTAAGTCAAAAATTATTTCAAAATAAAGTTTTTAAAAAAGCAATTAAAAGCAATTCTTAGTAACTGCACAGGATTGAACTTCACAGACAGCCCCTGAGGAAGGAAACTACCATATACACATAAACGTGCATCCACTGTACACATATAGCGCATTCCATTAATCCATCATCCATTGATGGACACCTGGGTTGCTTCCACATTTTGGCTATTGTGAATAATGAAGCTATGAACATTGGTGTACAAGTATCTCTTTGGGACCCTGCTTTCAATTCTTTTGGCTATATACCAAGAAGTAGAATTGCTGGAACATATGGTAATTCTATTTTTAATTTTTTGAGAAACTGCTATGCTGTTTTTCATAGTGGCTGCACCATTTTACATTCCCACTAACAGTGCATAAGGATTCCTTTTTTTTTTTAGCTGAGCCATCCTGCCACCGGTTGGCAGCTCAGTGGCAGCTCAGCTCAGGCCGTGAATCAAACCGGGGACCCTGTTGCTCAGAGCTCAAACTCTCGAGCGAGATCTTAACCAACTGAGCCACTCAGTCGGCCCTCAAGGATTCCAATTTCTCCACATCTTTGCCAACACGTGTTATTTTCTGTTTTGGGTTTTTTGTCTTGTTTTTATAGCAGCCATCCTAATGGGCGTGAGGTGGTCTTGATTTGCATTTGTGTTTTCTTAATAATTAGTGATGTTGAGCATCTTTTTGTAACCCCTTTCATAGATATGGAAATTGAGGCTTTGAGCAGTGATACAACCTGCTGAAGTCAGCTAGGTGGTTAGTGGTGGAGTCAGAACTGACCCTCCAGTCAGACTCCAGAATTCCTCCTTGTGCCACCACCTCTCCGGGGAGAGATACCCCACCCTAGTCACCCTGGGACTTCTCCCTCCTTCCTCCCATCCACCAATGCTTGTTTGCTTTTATTTTACTCCTGCCATCCAAAAAAGGAAGGAAGAAAAGGGAAAGGCTGCTGACAAAAGCAAATCCTGGTGTGTGCGTGTGAGTGTATGATGATGTGCATCCCCAGAGGGACCCACAGGCCCCTTCCTGGGAGCAGGGCACAAAGGGGTAGCTATGGACTTGGAGGCCAGCAGCTACCCACCCCTCACACCTTGAGATGAACAAAACCAGCAAGGAAGCGGAAAATTACTGCAGCTGTCAGGGAGGGCAGCAGCCAGCTTAGCTACTGACGACACTCAGGAACTCAGGTGGAATGAGCCGGTTCCCAGTCTGAGGTGCCACCAGGCCAGGCTGTGGGCAGGGGGTGGGCAAGCACTAGTTGCCTCTACTAGGGGATCAAAGTCAGAGAAGCATGGCCACCTCAGGGCCCAAGGTAGGCATGGCGCCAAAGCCGGTGGGATCCAGAGGTAGTCCATACGCTGAGCCCTCTTTCCACAGATCCTATAGATTCTGCAGCCACCACTCCTGGCAGGCCACCAGTCTCTTCCACAGCTTCCTCGCTAATAATCTTCTTGCTTTTCATAGCACCTAGAGTGAGTACTTTCTAAAAATCTGGCGATGTTACCCCTTGCTTAGAACACTTACTATTTCCTCACTGTCCTCAGAATTGAGTCAACTCCTCTACATTCCTACAAGGCCCACTGTGGCCTTTATAGGCAGGCATTTCTAGCCTCCCCTGAGCTCCAGCCACCCTGATCTATGGACTTCCATTCCCAGAATCTGCCATGTTCTTTGCCTGGATAAGTCCTGCTATTATTTCCATACTCAACTCAAATGTTAGCAGCCCATGTTAGAGTATTGCCTCACTCTGTTATCCACACAGAGAGGGTAAAATATTTGCCCCAGGTCACACAAGCTAGTCAGGATTTGAATTCAGGCTCTAGAGCCCTATTACCAAAGAGGGTTGTTGTTAGCCTTCTCTGTAACATGGCCAATGTGCCCGACAGGCATCTGAGCTTTGAGATGTCTATGGCCTAATGCCCAATACAAAGCTAGCCATGGTATCTGATTATCGCCACACTGTGCTGAAGAAAGGGGATAAAGGACTAGCAGATGCCATTCTCAGGTTTTTCTTGGGAGGAACATAGAGCAGAGGAAGGGCCAGAAGCTGGGGGATCCAACTTGCCTGATCAACAGCAGGAAAGTAGTCTGTGAGGATATCTTCCTTAGAAGGAAGTGTGCCCTGGCCCAGCATCTCCTGGCCCTTACCAGATGCAAAGTAGGAAACACAGGAGGTGAAGTATGTGTGTACCCTGACTCCTGAAACTTGGAAAAACTGCCACCAAATCTAAGGGGCTAATGGTATAAGCTGGAGGCCCTTTCTACCATCCGGCCCTATGCTTAGAGGGATCTCTGTGAGTCTCTCTTCATGAGCGCCTTTGGGCCAGGGTTATACCTCCTCTGGTTCCCTGAGCCCAGCCAGCATAAGGAGGCCCTCTGCTGCTTTCCAGAGAATTTGGAGCTTCAGGACAGGACCCCAAGCCTCACCATAGGCATATGGGATAGCAGTAGCCCCCCACTTCATGCTTCCAGGAGTCTGTGGCCAGGAACAGGCATACCTGCCCATTTGTGTCTGCATGTGGGCTCAGCTGCGGCTTCCACCTCTCCTCCTGCCTTTGGCAGGATGTTGACTCAGCCTGGGGCTGGGCCTCCCCAGGGCAGCATCTAAGTTCTTGAGAAACAACTCCATCTGTTGTGAAACTAAGAAGGGAAAAGACAGTTGGTGGTAACACGCTTTCTTCCCCTCCATACTGGACAGAAAGATCAGGAATGAGCCTAAATGTGAATCCTGCTCTCTTGGCCTGCGCACAGGCGTTAGAAGCCTAACTCAGTGGCAGACCAGCCTGGTTTGATGGGGAGTGGGGAGTCTCAAGGGGGACTGACGCAGATGGGAGGGTTGCTCACACACTCACCTCGGTCACGATGGTGGACAGGTAGACGTCCTGGCTGAACTCCCAGCCATCCAGGCAGCTCTCCTGCTCCAGTTGCTCCAGGTCCACATCGCGCCCCGGCTCCAGCCCGAGCGCTGAGAAGTTGGAGATCGCCTCGAGCCGGTAGCGCCTGCAGCTGTGAGGCACCTCACGGCCGTCCTGCAGCCGCAGCGGGACACTGTGGTTGCGCCACGCGCTGCTCAGGTTCGCGGTGTCTGGCACCCGGCAGCGGTGCTCCGGGGTCCCCGCCAGGAACACGACTGACATACCATTGAAGCCGTTGGGGATGATGCTGAGGCTGAGCAGGAAGAAGATGAGGCGCTGGAAGGGCCCCCACTCGCCCAGGAAGGCGATCGCCTCGTCGTAGTCCCGCATGCTTGCCGCTGCTGTTCGGCAGCTTGCAACAGGGGTTGATGATAGGAGCTTTTCCCAGAGATTGTCGCGCGGTCGACGGTGTTATCCAAGGGTGTCAGAACGTTCTCGAGGGAGTCAGGCTGCAGGAAATTGGGGTGAGAGGCCGCGGCTATTACCGGGAAACCTACTGCGGGCTTTGGAACGTTCGCGGGATCTGGACGCAAAGCTGGAAGTCACTGTAGAAACTCCGGACCAGACCCCCATCCCGACTGGGGAGGGGAGGGTGGCCAGTCCGGCTCCGCCTTGTGCCCCGCCCCCTGCCGCCAGCCACCAGGCTGTTGACTCCGCAGGGGCTTGGAGCTCAGCGGTGCCACCTGCGTGCGAGGGAGGACGCTCCGCTCCCGCGCACTCCGCCTCCCCGGCGACCCCGAAGTGCTGAACGACCCTGCAAGGGGCCACTGAGTTGGGCCCCACGGGGGACAGCTGGCGAAAGGGAGGAGCCGACGCCGCAGAGCAAGGACTTTGAGAGGTCGGCCCTTGGCCCTCTTTGTCGGCGTCACCCCAGGCCTCGCCCGGGGCAGGAGTCCCTCTGCAGTGTCTTCCAACCCGGAGCCTGAGCTCAGGTGGCCTCGAGCGGGCGGGGCGCGGACGGGAGTCCCTGGAGTCGGTGCTCTGGGAAAACCTCTGCAGGCGCAGCGTGGACAGGAGCGCGCCGGGTCCTCTGGCGCGCACGCCGCGCAAGTGGTGGGCACCAGCCGGCAGGGCGCGCCCTCCCCACCAGTCCTAGAAGGGGTTGGATTTAGTCACCAGCGGCGGCGCCTTCCGGGCAGCCGGGAGCCTCACCTTGAAAAAGGGGAAACAGTCTCAGAGCCCGGAAGGGATGAGCAAGGTCACACTGCGTCAGAGATAGGCTGGGAGGGGGCGGTCTCAGGGACCTGCTGGGGCCTCTAGAGAAGACTTCAGCACGGAGCCTGGCCCAAGTGAGACCACGTAATGGAGACTCTGCTGTCACCACTCCTGTGTTCTGATTTTTATCCTTTTCACTCTCCCCACGCCCCCAGGGCTCTTTATGGGGTGGCTGCCAGAGCCTTCTTGGACTGGAAGGCCTCTTGTTGACAGAGGGACAGCTCCCAATCCAGGAACAGAGGGAGGGAAGGAGGAGGGAGAGAGGGAGGAGGGAGGGAGGAGAAGGTCCAGTTTGGCGCCTAGATCTGGCAGGGTAACCAGAGCAGGGACCACAGTCTGTTTGGTGTCTAGGCCTAAGTCCCTTCTGCTGTTGCTAGCCTGGGGCTGCAGTTTGAGTCTTGGGGCTCATGAGGCAGATGAGATTGACGGAGTGAAGGACCCACCTCTTTGGAGATTTTGTACAAGTGTGTTTGCTTTTCCAGGCCCTGATTAAGAGGCCAAGGGACATCTCTGCCTCAGTCTGACCCACTCCTCTTATCCTGGTTTCCACCCTTTGGCATCACAGTCTCCTTTTGTTATAAGACCATATGTCCTGATGCCAGGGCAGTTCTGATTTGTGCCTAGTAACCCAGCAGAATTATTAATAGCACTTCCTTTTAAAAGTACTCTTTGAACAATATATATTACAGCAGGTCCTCACATAATGTGGTTTCATTCAACCTCAGTTCTTTATAACATTGATGAGAAAAAGAAAATTGATTCCTGGTGGGGGCCACTGTCTGTGTGGAGTTGTCACGGTCTCCCTATGTTTGCGTGGGTTTTCTCTGGGTCCTCAAGTTTCCTCCCACATCCCACAGATGTGCAAGTGAGGTGAACTGGCGTGTCTAAATTGCCCCAGTCTGAGTGTGTGTGTGTGTGTGGGTGTGGGTGTGTAAGAGAGTACACCCTAAGATGGAAGGGTGTCCTATCCAGGGTGGGTTCCTGCCTTGCACCCTGAGCTGCTCTGGTAAGCTCAGGCCACCCATGACCCTGAACTGAAAGAAGCGGATTGTAAAAGAATGATCTTACTTGTTTTTATTAATTTTTCTTAAGCGTTTGTATAGTTCACATTTACTTCAATGTTTACTATTAGAAGTGTTTGGGGGGGGGTCTTTATTTAGAAGTTCAGGGATGTTTTTGTGACCAGAAATATGCAGTGGGAGCTTAACTCTTCTTTATATCAATTAGCCTTTGGTAAACTGGTTTCTTTATACATTGTTTCGCTTAACGTCTCAGTTTCCAAAAACCTATTGATGATGTTAAGTGAGGACTTACTGTAATGTGGTCCCTGTCTTATTTACAGTAGCTTGGATTTCATCTCTCCCATCTCTCCCAGCAAAAAAGCAAAGCCTGAGACAAGAACGTATGTGGAGGTGGTTTATTTTGAGTAGTGATCCCAGGGAAAGGAATGAGGGATTAGGGAGCGTGAATAGAGAAGGAGGTAAGGACAACACAACTGTATAATTTAGCTGGTCATTGGCCATGGCCAGGATCACTGCAGGACTGTGCTGAGACATATTGGAGTCGGAGGCCAATGGAAAAAATTAGTAATACTGATCCTGTCTTTACTTAAAAATGTATGTTTCATTCATCATGGATTTTTAATACTGATTTTGGTTTTTTAAAATATATTAAAATATTATTAATCTTGATTATTGAATGTCTTGGCATCCCCTTAAATTCTGCACCTGAGGCAAATGCCTCAATTATTTCACTGCCCTTTGCTTTGTCCCAACCCTCATTGCCATGGGTGACGGGAATTCGATCCCACTGGGACCTTCTAAATAGCTATTTATTGGGTTGTCGGAAAAGTCATGACGCATTTTTGCAACGAGAAACAGAAAAAATACGTCACGACTTTTCTGACAACCCAATAGAATGAGGACGCATTTGTTTCCTAGTTCTGGCTCCATTGGTCAACTCCTCTGCTCTTCCAGGTTGTTTTGAGGGAGAAGTGTTGGTATAGCTGAGGTAGGTGTCATAGGAGTCAGAGCCACCTGTTCATTAACTTACATGAGCCTTATGGACCTGCTCAGTCCTGATCCTGACTCTGCCATTTCTATTATATGGATTGCTGATGCGCCTGCTTAATCTTATGACTTGATGGAACCTGACAATATGCAGCTCATACCGGACATCTCTAGTTTCATAGGCCCTTGACGTCCCATTGCCATAGCTGCTTTTCAAAAGGCAAATAGCTCTCTGCAGCAGAAGACATGACCTTGTTCTGGAACCCTAAAGATCTATACTGAAACTCTCTTATTACGGTTTATCAGAGACTCTACCCAGCATCCTTATCACCATGAATACCTCTAGTACTGTTGTGCTGCTGGACCATATGGACCACATGGCAGGGAACCTTGTACTACAGTTGGACACACTGTAGTGCTCTCTTGCTCTGGGCTTCACTCAAAACTGGGAGCCTTCCAAGGCACCCGATAAATGGGTCAGGGTAATAGTCCCACCAAGCGTGATGTCTTTTTTATTAGTGGTGGAGGACAGGGTACAACAACTTACAGGGGATGACCCAGCATGCTCCAGTTACTGGATCCCTAATAACTTCACCAATTTGCTTCAAAATAATATGGGATGGAAGAAGTGAGTGAGGACATAGATGGAAAAATTGGCCATGATGGTGGTTCTAAGAGTTCATTTTACTAGTTTGTCAATTTGTATATACATTTAATTCATTCCAAAACAAAAAGAAAAAACACACCAGAAAGGCAGGCCCTGAGTCTTCATACTTTTTGCCTCCCATCTTCTGACACGCATGTATCTTACTACACATCTGGAGGACTTGGCCAAATTAGCATTATGGTCATCAATACTGTGAACCATCATGATAGTTTATGGAGTATCAAGACAATCAAAATCACTAAATACTATATTATGAAAGAGAGCAGGAGAATTCACACAGCCTAGGGTGAAGAATGTAAATACCGGGGGTACCAAAAAAATGTATACACCTGACTTGTATTCATCTTTGGTTATCAGTATATATTGAGTATTACAATTTTAATACAGTTTTTTTCCTTTCTTAAAATGTGTATACATTCTTTGGAACCCTCTGTATGTGCTGCTATTCATCCCACATAAAGGCAAACAGCTTTTAATCCCCCTTAATGAAGGATATTAAGAAGATCCTTATGGGGCAGCCGGTTAGCTCAGTTGGTTAGAGTGTGGTGCTGATAACACCAAGGTTGCCGTTTCAATCCCCACATGGGCCACTGTGAGCTGCGCCCTCCTTAAAAAAAAGAAAAAAAGAAGATCTTTGATGTTGGTGTTAATCTCTGCATTTCCTCCAAAGACATGGTTTTACTTCTGAGTTAACAAATTGGTCAAAACTGTGGGTGTGTTAGTGGCTTCCATTGGGCCCTTCCTACCGTAATTGCTCTTATTTAAGGGGAGAGGGATAAATGTTAGGGTCTTGCCAGCTGCTAAGTGTTGTATCTATCCCAATCATGCACTCGGGGATCAGGGAACTACAGTGTGGGTCTTTAGACCCTTTAGACCCATTAGACCTGCTTGCACAAGAACCCCATTTACCACCGGGCTTTCATGAGCCTCTAATCTAACGGTGGGGCAGTGGGGGGCACATAATGCTGTTTCCTATCCTCTGGCATTAATGCCAGCTCATACTCTAAGTCCAGTAGCCCTTGAAAGGTCTGGGTCTTTCCCTTTCTTCAAGACAGAATTACTCTAGTAAAAGGCCATTGTTCTGGACTGAATTATGTCTCCTCAAACTCATATGTTGAAGCCCTAACCCTCAGTGGTATTTGGAGACGGGGCCTTTGGGAAATAATTAGGTCCAGATGAGATCATGAGAATGGGGCTCTCATAATGGGATTAATGCCCTTATAAGAAGAGAAACCAGAAAGCTTGCAAGCAGGTGGCCATCTCTAAGCCAAGGAAGACTCTCACTATAAACAGAATCAGCCAGCAACTAGATCTTGGACTTTCCAGCCTCCAGAATTGTGAGATACAAACTCCTATTGTTTAAGCCACCCAGTCTGTGGTACTGTGTTATGGCAGCCCGAGCAGACTAAGATAGCCACAGATCCCTTGTGGGGAAATAATGATCCAATATACTTTTGGCAATATTAGAGGGCTCTTCCTTGAGACTTGGCCTCTTTTTCGATCAATAGGCTCTGAGCCTATAGATTGGCCTGGATCTGGGACGCTTATGAGGAAATATTATTTTCCACTGGGGCAGCTGACATCAGGTTTCTGCACACTAACTTTTGAAATTGGGGGTGAGGTTATTACACAAGTAACACCTGGTCACCTGCCCATTTATTTAACTCCTAGGAACTCCCTTGTCTATTAGCCATCACTCCAGACCCATGGGTCGAAGCACCCTAGTTGCCACTTTGGTCTTATAATTATGTCCACCCTGCCTCTGTTGATTAAGTATCATCACCCAGACTCTGCTATTGTAGAGTCCTACCTTCCCTGCTACACAAGGCATCCTTCACCTGTGCATTTTGTATTGCCTTAGTGAAGGGAGTGTCCTCTGGACTTGCCTTAGGAGTGTAAGCTGGTGATAGGTTCTCTGGTCTTGGATGATAAATACAATCTAACATTCTTGCTCCCCTGAGCCTTCTGACTCGTTTGATACTCTGCCAGATACTCTGGCATCTCCACCTCAATTCTGTAGGCCGTAATTGTATCCAAGTTTCAAAGCGTCATCTCAGAAGCATATGAAGATGGTTTTCTGTATCCTGGCTTGGATGTTAAACCCAGAATAATGAGAGTGCGCTCCCAGGTTAATCAATTCCCATATGTTACCCCTGTTCCTACAAGAACATAGGTCCTGTTATTTTTTTCAATGTGTATGCTATTTCCTTGTGGGTCAGGGACTGTACTTCCCCACGTAGGCTGTGCCAAGGCCTAACCCTAGGTATTGGTCTGGAGGCAATGAAGGGAGATAAGGGAGGACCTTGAAGAAGATAAGCATCACCTTTGGA